GGGGGGGGGGGGGGGGGTTAGAGGGTATGGCAGGGGGTATATGTGCATGTGTGCATTTGGAGGGGGCAGAGGGAGGGGCTGCCGGGGGGAAAGCTTCAGCCAGGCAGCTCCTGCCCCAGTATGCAGGGCTCTGGCTCCAGCTCCAGGCTGCTCTTCATTTTGGGTGGGCGAAATGGGTGGAAGGTGGCCAGGAGCTGGTGCCAAAGGCCCACACACTGAGAAGCAAGAGCCACCTGGCTGCAGCTCACCCCTACCCTCACCTCCCCTGTCTCAGAATGGCACAGCAGGGACAGAAGAAGGAGCACCCAGCCAGCTCCGGAAGCTGTGCACTCTGGTTGGGGCCTGGGCTGGTAGGCACAGGCAGGAGTGCGGTGCAGGCTGCCCCAGTGGGAGTGGATGGGGCTCAGCCCCATGCAGAACCTGGATCTGTCCCACAGGCCATATTTTGCCCACCCCTGTGTTAGCTCTCATCTACCTTTCTAATCTGCCTAGATTCTTCTGAATTGCATTCTTGTCTTCCAATGTGTTCACGATCATTTTAAGTTTCAGGTCATCTCCAAATTTGCTTAAGAAGCTCTCTATTCCAGTATCTAAATACTTAACAAACATGTTGAACAGCACTGGGCTCAGGACAGACCCCATGTGGGACTCAACTCAGAACCTCCTGCCATTCTGACATGAATTCATTTATAATTACCCTTTGTTTCTGGCTATCGAGACAGTTGTCTATCCACCTCATAGTATTTTGTCTAGCCTGTATTTCTCCAATTAGTTTATCACAAGGTTATGTGAAACTTTGTCAAAAGCTATGCTGAAGTTCAGCTACATAATATCCACTGCATTCCATTCATTCCCCCCCCACACACACACACGCACAAACGTAGTTACTTTATCAGAGGAGATCAAGTTTGTTTGACATAATTTAGTCTTAATAAATCTATGCTGGCTGCTTGTGATCAATCTTTCCTTCTCCAGATGACTGCAAATGGATTTCTTTAAGATATTATCCAGTACGTACCTAGGTATCAATGTGAGGCTACCTGGTCTACTCTTCCCTAAATCCTTTTTTGCCTTTTTTTTAAAGAAGGCACTACGTTGGCTCTTTTCCAGTCCTCTAGTACCTTACCCACCTCTCACAACTTTGTAAATATTACTACCATAGGAGTCCCACAGCCAGAGACACATAAGAATAATGCATACTGTTTTCAATCCAAGAGCATCTTGGTAAAATGCTTCCCTCATTTCGAAGAATACCGTGAATGCCAGTTCTGACAAAAAATGTCAGTTCAGCTCAGTTTATTCACCATATTCTTCAGCTCCAGAAAACAGTTTCACATTATGCTAACTTACACATTCAAAATATACTTAACTATCTAATACAATCTTTATTCTGTCCCAGATTCTGCTCAGTCATTAATATAAGTAAAAATCTCTTTAACAGTTGTATCAGAAGATAAGCACACACTTAATAAGGATACAAAGCATTATAAATGCATCAACCAAGGCAGAGGGGTGGGGGAACATAAGGTTATGCTTGTGTGTGTAAGATGATGTGCAGCTGATGTGACAGGGAGTGAAGGAAGTAGATAATTAAACAAGATGTTATGCAAAGCACTTTATTAGATGGTAATTCTGGGGCAGGGTATTCACTTTACTAAAATTACTATGTGTTCTTACTCTGTATTTTCCAATATGTATTTAAAGACACAATTGAATTATTATTGAAATGCTAACTACATATACACACACGTGCACACCCAGCAAATGAAAACTAAATGTACTCCTATTATTCTTATTTCCGGTTTTCTCTAGACCATTAACCAGAGGCAGATACAGTTCAAATAGCAACTGCAGCTAAAAAAGACCTGTAGCTACAGTTGCACAATAAGCAGACATTCTGAAATATGATGTGTATTATATATGAAAAAAATCTGGCCCTGAACCAGTAATATATTTACTATATATTTTCATAATCAGAAGCCTAAATATGTAAAATTCTACTGGTCCTTTAAAAGTTGGTATTTTATACCTATTTAAATTTTTGTAACAAGAAAAATATGGTAAATAAACACTAAGACAGAAGACTTTTAGGTATTCTAAAAATGACTATGAGAGTTTTCTAGAATGACACTAGCTAGCACAAAGATGAGTGGTGGCCTGTAAATAGCGTAGTATATTATATACATACCATCTCTATAGTGCCAATAGCAAGACAAAACACCACCTGAAGACATCCAGACAGGTCTTAAAACTTTAAAAGAACATTCACAGTATATCTGTGTAAAACTGTACTATGAACCCACTAGAAATTAAGGAAATCCAGCATAGGAAAGAACTAATCAGGCTACCAAGGTATCTTAAGTGCTTGATTCTGCTGCTCTGAAACGTAGTAAAAGTCACCATGCGAAGTAATGAACAGAATTTCCCATCATTTTTTTCATTTCCCATTAGGTCAATTGTACTCATGATTTTGTCCCTACAGGCCAGGTAAATAGCATGGGGCTGGTCCACAGGTCAGATCAGGCCCTGCAATGCCCTTTGGCTTCAGGATTGAGCTCTGGGGCCCCATGCTGCTTCTGCCCAGCCCCTGCCCAATTGAGATCATGCTCCAGGGGCCCCACACCAGCCCTGGCACAATCGATTCATATGGAGCCCTATAGGCTGGATGACATGGCCTGTGGACTGGGGGGTTGAGCACACCTGCACGAGGAGACCAGTCATGTTTCCCCTATTTCTATTTGAGCACAGGATAATGTGAATTTAGTTTGTTTGTTTGAAAACTGTGCATCACAGATGTTCGAGTAATGTAAGTAACTTCAGAAAAAGAACAGGCCAATCCACCAACTCCATCCCAAGCAAAACAAAGTTATATACGAAACTGATCAATATGAAGAATGAGTTAACATTATCCATTTCCTGAATATTCTTCATAATTAGCTGTCACCATGGACCAAGACAAACCAGATCCACAACTATACCAACAAAAAACAAAATGTATTTTGTGTACATTGTGACACCAACTCTGGGTCCTCCATCATAAAGAAGGTCCCTATCCCATGAGGCAGTGCTCAGGCACAAAACAAAGAGTCCCTATACTCAAAGGAGCTAAAACTAACCTAAATAATGAATGGTACACCTTGTTCACATATCAATTAGCGTAATTATACAGAACCCACAGTGAAGCTTTGTTGGCCATATCTACAAAATAAATGTGGTATGAGGCAAAACCACCCTCAAACAGTCCCATTGCTACAGTCTGCCTCTGAAACCTGACTCATGTAGCTGTATTTGAGAGATTCTCCAAGCATAGTAATTAGTCTGCCCTCTTTTTAATCTGTTTAACTCACAGCACTAGATAGATGTCATTATTCTGCTCACAGTGTAGGAAAGGGGAGCCATCAACCCCTGTTGGAAGGAGCATTCTGAAGACCTTCTTAACCGAGACTCTGGAGTTGAGGGCACTCTCATCAACATTTCACAACACCAAGTCAGAGACTATCTTGGAATCCCTCCAACACTTGACAAGGCGTGGAAAGCCATCAAAAAGATAAAAACGACAAGGCATCTGGAGCAGATGGATTCTCTGCTAGAAATCTTCAAGCAGGTGGGAGAGAGAAGCTCGTATCACAGCTCCATGCGTTCATCTTAAGGATTTAGAATGATGCGGAAATCCCAGATGACCTCAGGGAGCCATGATGTGACAATCTTCAAGAAGGGAGACAAGTGCAACTATGGAAATTACAGAGGGATTGCCTTGCTGTCCACCACAGGAAAAATCGTTGCAAGAACTCACCTGAACTGTCTCCTTCCACTTGTTGAAGAGCTCCTCCCAGAATCTCAGTGTGGGTTTAGGGCATCAAGAGGCACAACTGACATGATCTTTACAGCTTGTCAGCTGCAGGAAAAATTCCGGGAAAAACATAACTCTCTCTGCATGGCCTTCTTTGACCTCACAAAACCTTTTGACTGTCAACCGAGAAGTGCTGTGGAGGATCCTTCTGAAGCACAGATACCCACTGAAATTCATCACCATTCATTGCCTGCTCCATGATGGCATGTGAGTTGTGGTTCTCAGTAATGGATCTATCACAGATCCCTTCAAGGTTAAGACAGGAGTTAAGCAAGGCTATGTTACTGCTCCAACACTCTTCTCAATATTCCTTTCCATGATGCTACATCTGACCACCAACAAGCTTCCAATTGAAGTGGAGCTAAACTACCTAATGAATGGTAAACCATTTAATCTCAGCCAACTCTGAGCCAACACCAAGACCACCTTGACCTCAATAATCGAGCTCCAATATGCTGCTAATGCTGTAGTCTGCGCTTACTCAGAAGCAGATCTTCAGGCAATCGCTGAAGTTTTTACTGACGCATACAAGAAAGTGAAACTAACTCGTAACATTCAGAAGACTAAGGTTCTCCATCAACAAGCTCTTAATGAGCGGTCCCCACCTCCAGTAATTCAGATTCATGGCAAGACTCTGGAGAACGCTGAGTATTTCCCGTACCTCAGAAGCCAGCTCTCACAGAAAACTGACTTCAATGAAAAAAATCCAACATTGGAAGTGCAACTACAGCCTTTGGATGCCTGAGGCAACGGGTGTTCAAAGAACACAACATCAGATCCAAAACCAAGCGCATGGTTTATCATGCACTTATGATTCCCCAGCTTACTGTACAGAGCCGAGACAGTACAGAAGACATCTCAAGCTGCTGGAGAACTACCATCGACACTGCATGTGAAAGATCCTTCAAAGCCAGTGGGAAGGCAGATGCACCAACATTAGCATCCTCTTGCAAGCAAACGCCACAAGCCTCGAGGCAGCGATCATCCAACAAACTTCACTGGGCCGGCCATGTCATCTAGATGTCTGACTCCAGACTCCTAAAGCAAGTTTTATTCTCCCAGCTCTGCCGAGGTGTATGGCTCAAGAGGAGGGCAGAGAAAGCACTTCAAGGACGTCCTCAGGGCCAACTTGAAAAAAATGCAACATCAACATCAACTCATGGGAAACTGTTGCTCAGGACCACCCCAAACGGAGGAAGACTGCTGCCAGGATCTCGGTACTTTGAAACCTTACGGCGACAGCACGACACAGAAAAGAGGGAGTAACAGAAACAGCATGCAGTGGACCAAATCAAGAATTCAGAGACACCCACCCCACACGGAAACATGTGCCCGAGTTTCAGCAGAATCTGTCAATCCCGGATCATCCTCATCAGCCATCGCCAGACCCACAGATAAGACAATCACAGAATTCTTATCTTGCTGGGATCGTTTGACCCCTGCCTGCCCTTTGGGCAGGGGGCTGGACCGATGATCTGGAGAGGTCCCTTCCAGCCCTAATGTCTATGAAATCGAAGACAATCATCCTGGATTGCTAGTGATTGCTGAAGAAGTAGTGCGGAAGACAGCCTGCCTGGAATGCCTGAGGATGCCACTGCCCAGCTCAATGAGTTTACTACATGGACTATGTGGCTTCAGCGTACACTGAAAAAGCACACTGCAGGTTACACCTCAATAGAAGCCTGCCAGCTTAGCAGACGAATATTTTAAAATGAGAAAATTAATGTGGAAATATTTACAAAAAGCAATTATTTCTAGACATGCTTATTCTGAAGAGGTCATCCTTCCTTTACCAGAATAAAATATTTTACCCCAGTAAATAAACATTATATGAAATAGACATGGCCACATTCATACATAAAACACCACTAACATACAGATGCAGTTGGTGTTTTATTATAATCTTCTTTCTAGGCTTATTAGTCATGTTAGCAAATCCTGTCAGACTCTAAAATTAGCCTTCACAGAGCCCTTCTAATAGTATTGTACCAAATTAACACAATGCACTCTCTCTCTATCTATCTTGGGCAGGTCATTAGTGTATCATAGTTTTATACTAATTATACTTTTTGCCTAATAACCTACATCAGCTCAGGCTATCCTATCTATTGTATACTTAAAATGGTTTCTAACATTCAAGCAAATTAAATGCATAATTCTTTTAACTATCACTACCCTCCTGAGAGAACCCCAGAATGAAAGTTCTGCAAAACAACTTAACTGTATATAAGTTATGGCCAAAAATAAAACAACTCCCCTCTCCCAAGAATAAAAAGGAAACAGAAAAGTCTGAATCATGCTGATTATACTTTATAGGCATGCTAGTATTTTTCCCCTATAGAAACACAGATACAATAATACAAATAGCCTCATGCTTTTTTCCTGAAATCTGAGTACCACAGTTTTCATATAGAACTGATACAAGACAGACTGTATGGATTTTGAGATAAGTTTTTTTGTTCAAATTGTTTAAACCTCTTTATTCTCTCCTTAGTCTTCTTCACCACTTCTGCCCTTATTTCAGCACATTTCAATTACTTTGATTAAATTTTCCTTGATGGAAAAAACAGGATTGGTTGTACATGTACTTTCTTATCTAGCTATCAGCCATCCAGTGATAATTTGTGGTCTGGTGCTTATGTAAATTTGCTTATGCCCTCAGTCATTTGTTTTAATACTTGTAATTCTTTTTAAAAAGCTTTTGTCCTGCTTCTTATCTGCTCTATTGTCTTACTTAGAGTACCTCTTCAACAAGCATCATTTCAGCATCTAAAACCACACAGCAATGTAAATACAGTTTCTTTTTTGCTAGCAAGTATTTTAAGTGAGAGGCACAGTAGAAGAACAGTTATCTTGCTATGGATCTAGAGGTCTTGCTCCAGATTCATGCCAAAGGCCACCCCAACCCACTCACATCACAGACTCAACTGTAAATAGGTACCTGGTCATTCAAGCTTGGGAGTCCAAGGCAGCAACAGGTGATGCTAGCAGCATGGATTTCTGTTGAGCTGTTGGCTACAGGAACTTGAGTTTAACTACACTAATCAAATGGGGTTTCTTGGCTCAGGCAGATTCTTGATACTTACACTTTTTTTTTCTTCCAGCTGTAACGGCTCCTAAAATTCAGTCTTACTAGGCCTCCTTGTCTCTCTCAATCCATCAAGCTGTGCATCTTACTTGAAAATTGATTACGTTGTACATCAATCCTAATTTTGTCAGTGCCCAGCTATCAGGGTGACTGGGACTAATCTAGACAAAGCAGTTTGATCCAACACTTATTTCAGTAGCTCCATGTTCTTTGACTTCACAACAGTTGCTCCAATTTGTGCCAAGCTAAATTGGACTCAGACTGTTTAGTCAAGTCTCATTTAAATGTTGCAAGTAATGACACATTGACAACTGCCTTCAGAGAATATTCTGAAAGGACACCTCATAGCCTGATCAGCAACTTCGTCCCATTCCCTCTTTGTTTTGTCCCTAGTGGGATTATTTTATAGTAGATTCCCACCTGTTTACTGGGTGAAACCAGGGGTGCTGAACCCCTGACCTGGTGGCTGGATCAACCTGTGGCACTGTGTCATCCAAACCGCGAGCATCCCCCAAATTTGGCAGTGGAGTGCCTGATTCCAGCACACAGAGATGGATGGAGGTGGTACTGGGCCCCTGGCTAGGCAGCAATGGGAGGGGGCAATGCTAGGTCCCTGGGACCCAATCTACACATGTAGGGGAAGAAGGAGATAGTCACAGACCCTTGGGGCCCACTTTAAGAGTACAGAGGTTGAGGCAGAGTGCCAGGGCCTGATCCCAGTGCTTCTGGCAGGAAGGGGGCAGTGATAAACAACCGCCCCAATCTAGGCCCAGAGGATGCAATCAGCCAATTAAGACCAGCCCCACACCTCTCATCTTGCCTGCAGAGCCAAACACTTGGGCATCTCTGGGTTAAACAATTCCTATCCACCCTTGGCATACTCTTCAAATACTGAAATAAAGTCTTTCCCATCCCATGCCACTGAGTTGGCTCTTAGTTACCAAGTTATACCTATTTCACACTTTGTCAAGGTCTCATTCACGCTGGACCATCACCCAAAGTAGCTACACCACTGCAAGTCTCTTGCCATGAGCAGGCTCTTCAGAACAGGACAGTTTACCCTGGCCTGAAACTGGGGTAAACACCACAGTGCAAGTAACCTTGTCAGTCCACACTGGGGATTGCAATGGTGCCAGTATGGGGATGGCTGCACTCAGTGCAGAAGTACAAAACCAACAAAGCCTGCCTCTTTGCCATCAGAAATTCCCAGCAGTGTCCTCTTCCACCTACTACTCCAGCCTCAGTCACTGTTGTAGCTCTTCTCTAAACTTCCTTTAAACTCAGCACAATTTTCCTGACATAGGTCATCACTACAGAGCTGCAGAGAGAAACTTTCATCTGTCTAATCTGTTACATCCCACCTCAAAATGCAATTCAAACTCGCATGGTTCTTTATTACTGATATATCTTACTACAGCTTCATGATTTATTTGACGCCCATTATTGTTCCTTGATGTCTCCGTTCTGCTCCAGTTTATGCATAACAGGGAGAAGTAAGGTGGGAATAATTTCAGAAGAAACTGATTTTTGCATACTTTTTATGAAGAAGTGAGGTCATCCATCAGAATCGGCACTGGAAGTACCCTCATTATGTTTTCAGTAAGGAAAGCCAATTCCCAATTGCTTCAAGTGGATGAGAAAAGATGGCCCGCTATAGTCTACAGGGCCTTCTGTCTCTGTCTCCATCTCTCTGTCTTTCTCTCTCACACCCACCCCTCTATATTGCTGAATTGGACCATTAAGCAGAATGCTTGTTCACAATTTAAAGGTAACCTGCACAGCATTTCAAAATACTTGTTCTGTCAAATCTTCACCTTTTAGACTGAGGTACAAGGAAAAAGACCCTTTAGAATGGAAATGCTCATTCACCTTTAACTGCTGTACAGCTGTTCCTACACGATACAGCTCTAAGAATAATTTAAACTTCACAAAAAAAAAATCAAAAAAAAAAAAAAAATCAGTAAGCAACTCCTCACCACCTCTCACTGAGGCAGGAAGAGAGAATTATCCCCCTATTAGAACTGGAGAAACAGCAGCAGAGAACTATCTATGGATTTGTCCAAGATGAAAAGTGCAAGTAGCAAAACTGGAAAGAGGACCCCAATTCCTGACCCCAAGTGTCAAGAAATTTACCTCCAAACATTTACCCTACGCAGTGACCTCAGTTTGGAAAGCTTCCAAAAACCATGTTAACTATCTCATGCTCTGTTTACACCTGGTACAAAAGTGTGCTAGTTAAAAGCTTTTAAAATCCTATTATGTTTGTGTAATGTAAGCAAAGCTTCACTAGTGGATAGGAGGAATCCTTGAGGGCCTTATTTACACCAGAAAAGTGAGTACCATATTATGGTGCCTTCACCAATGACACAGCTGCAATGCAAGCAGCAATTATGTCATGAAATACTGGAGGTCTTTTCATGACAGCAATAAAGATGCTTGAGCTATGTCCAAGCTAGCAGCTTAGCACTCATGCGGTTGCATCATAGGGCCTCATTTACAATGAATCCTTTATTCCGCAAGACAGCCCCACCTTTCCTGTCGTCAGTGTAACCCCGCCAATGGTAGCACTAACTTGGACAGAGCAGAAAGCACCCACACCAACACAAAGCACAGCACCTATGCTTGTGCTCCTACCATGGCTACACCAGCTGCAGTAGGTCTCAAGTGATAATCTGGAGAAAAATAATGCAGACAAGGACAAAGCCTTGATATACACTGCATCAATGAGATGTACCATTGCAGAGATATTTTCCCCCTTGCAGAGCCCTGGGCTGTGGCAGCTTAAATGCATCTTCATCCAAAAAAGTCAAAATGTCCTTTCCATCCTGTTCCTTTACACTCTTATCACAACTTCTAGAGTTGTTTTAAAAAATCTTGTCTTCTGTACTACTGTATCAAGAAAAGGAAGCACTACACAGGAGTGATAGTTTCTCCCCCTACATCACCCTTTACATTACATACTATTCCCTGAAACTTAATTATATAAGCTGAAAATGTGAAACTGACTTTCAATTCTAAAAAAGCAAAACTCCAACTTCTTTCACGTTGCAATTTTTTAATGCTTTAGCTTTTCTTTTCATCACTCTCTAAAATAAACCACTGCTCACATCACCGGTTTTCTTTGTCATCAAGGGTAATCTGTTATTATGCAAAGATCGCATACTCCTCTCCCACAGATTTAGGTTTCTGCAGGTAAGGAAATGATATTCATGTACCCGCACAATTACCTTCTTCCTTATAAACCCAAAGAGACTCAGCACATGAACAATTTGCAGATACTTTTATTTTTTCAGGTTTGTCATTAAAAAAAGTTTTTCACTTTTCAGTCACAACTAAAAATATTTATAGGAACATCTCCTGCTTTTACATAAGTAGAACAAAAACTAAACCTTTCCCATGCTGCTGTACATAAAAATATTTATATTTAAGTATTGGTCAAATCGTAATAATAAATATTACCTCCAATACCACCTTGCCATTATATAACTCATCCGCAACATGGATGGATCATCCTTATGGACATTAAGTAATAACCTCTGTTGCCAGCCTTGACCGTTTTCAAGGGGGCCTAGGCCAAGCTGCAGATGTGTTGCTAAGCAGCAGGTCCCAAAACCTGTTTCTGAGTGACTGTAATACGAACCCTTGCTGATATGACAACTCATTTGGTCAGCAAGTAAAGAAAGCCATTAAACAAACTACAAGGCCTGAAAGGAGATAAGGGAAGACCATATACTAAATAATCCATATAAACAATACATATCATAGCTTTATCTTAAAAGAGTAGTAGCGATTGATGTAACCAAATGTATTAGATATTATTTTGTTATAATAGATATATTTCTGTTAAAATGCTAAGATGATCTGTAACAACAAAAACAGCCTTGTCAGAGAAGACCATAAACTAAGGTAACCCACCCCCACAAAAAAAACCCAACAAAAAACAGGCCAACATTGAATACCACTCCATGAGAGAAAGAAAAGGAGATATAAATGCCAACTAATTGGCACCTTCCAAGTCCACAAAAGATCTAGTTTAGTTCAGCACCAAAAGTTTCAGTAAAACAAAGACATTTAAATAAAACCAATCAGAGATCACTTATTAGAATATTAGAACCAGACATCTATAAACATTGGGTATAGGCTGGTGCGGAATTTGGAGAACTCAGCAAATTCAAGAAGACCAGCTGCCAATCTGCATACCACACTCCTCCCTCCTCTCAAGTCTCCCCAGCCAGCAACAATCTATGCTGTGCTGCCATGGTTAGCCAGATAGACTTTGGGATAAATGTTTGTTTTCATGTTTTACAGTGCAAGCAAATGAAAGGTCATGTTGTAGACCAGTTTCTACTTCTTTTATCAGTAGCTTTACCTACAAGGTTACCTTTAATCTGGGTAATACCTCTAGGTACATTCCCTCCAACTGCCTTCTCAGTATATCCCATCACTGACAAAGGCAGTGGTTTCACTCCACCAGGACTAGTACCTAAGGGACTCTAAGTGCGTTTTCTGCTGTTTTAGTCACCATGTCATCTAACCCTGCTTAGCATACATTAATACTAAAAGCACTGGCAGCTGCTGTGAAAGTTTCCATTGCCTTCCCCTCTATTGTTTCTGCTGTGAATGGAAAAAGACAGCAACTGCGGGGATATTTTTTAGAGAAATGTTTTGAAAGCAAGGCTTCCTTGGCATGTGCCTCTCTGCTGAGACTGTTTCAGCACACATGTATGTACTATAGATGACGTAGGACAACTGTTGCAGGTGTGCACAATACACTGTCATTTCCCATTAGGCTATACCTGTCCAGGGTCACTGCCACCACAAAGCAGCGTGTGTTCTTCTGAATGGTGTGCTCAGCTTTCTAGGTAGATATCTCATGGCCGTGCAGTGATGCTGTCAGCTACTAAGCATTATAGGATTTTTCTCACTAAGCATTGTGAGATATTTACCAGATGGGACAGAAATTGTGAGACTGGGGGCCAAATTAAATTTTTCCCATAGCTCCCCCTCACTCATTATTCATCTTATAACTAGCCAGCACCATTTGCGAAGGCCTGTCTAGCAACAGAGTGAAAATATTGCTGAGCTCAGCAGTAGTCATGGTGCTTAACACAAACTGGCAGCTGCAAGTCACTCTCAAGTCACACAATGACTTGACAGCCAGGCAGATATGCCTGAGGAGAAGGCAGCTGAACCAGACAAATAATGAACAGCCACACTTAGAAGACTATTGCTTTTGGGTTCAGACAAAAAGACCCAACAGCTGTGACAGGACAGTGAAACACTCTTGGGATGACAAGCCATGGCAGCAGAACTTCAGGATGCCAAAGGAGAATTTCTTAGAAACCTGTGAAAGTTTCTCTCAACATGAAGAAGTGTGTGGCCATTTGTAACTGGAGCTTGCCTCCTCTCCCTTGTTACTGGTTATGCAGCTAAATAGTTCAGTACTAGGTAGATCAACTATCAGGGCTATTGTAAGGGAGAAGTGCATTGCTATAAAGAAAGTGCTGTTCCTCCAGGTCATAAATCATAGAATCATAGAAAGTAAGAGTTGGAAGGGACCTCAGATGATCATTTAGTCCAACCTGCTACTCAAAGCAAGACTGTACCCAACTAGATAATCCCAGCCAAGGCTCTGTCTAGACAGGTCTTAAAAACCTCTAAGAATGGAGATTCCACAACTCTCTAACCAGCTGGCGACCCATTGGACTGTATGGGTGTCTACGCCACAGTCCCCCAGCTTCCTAATGAGAATGGGGTGAGAGACAGTATCAAAAGCCTTCCTGAAGTCTAGGAAAACTATATCCACTGCCACCCCTGCATCCAATGATTTAGTGACCTGGTCGTAAAAG